CTGATGTAGAGTTATTTAGGTATGTAATTCTTGATTGGAGCTTGGGTATGTTGTGTTTTTCATGGTATTTGTCCATTTAGTCTGTGTTTTCATATTTATAGGTATAAACATATTTGTAATATTCTCTGTTGTCCTTTTAATAGTTATAAAATATGTAGTGATGTCACCTCACTTGTTTTGGTAATTTGTGTTTTCTTTCTTTTTTCCTTGGTCAGCTTAGCCAGTTTATTATTTTCATTTTCTCAAAGAACCAGCTTTTGGTTTCACTGATTTCTCTCTTTTTTTATGTTTCTTATTTCACTGATTACAGCTCATACGTTTATTCTCTTCTTTCTTCTGCTTACTTGAAGTTACCTTTGTTCTTTTTCTGTTTTTTTAAGCTGGAAACTGAGCTTATTGATTTGAGATCTTTTTTCTGATGTGGGCGTTTAGTGCTCTAAATTTTCCTCTTAAGTTTTAATGTTTTAGCAACATTTCAGAGATTCTGAGGTTAGGTTTCGTTTCATTTAGTGTAAAATTCTTTATAATTTCCTTTTGATTTCTTCTTTATCCCATAGGTTATTTTGAAGTGTGTTAGTTTCCCAATTTTGTGGTATTTTCTGTTACTCATTTTTAAGTTAATTCTGTTGTGGTCTGAGAACATGCTTTATATTACTTGAATTTTTTAATATCCGTTGAAACTTGGTTTATACCCAGTATATGTTTTAGGTTGGTACATGTTCTGTGTACTTGAAAAAAATATTTGCTGTTGATTAGAGTGTTCTATACATGTCAGTTATATCAAGTTGGTTGGTAGTGTATTCAAATCTTCCATATCCTTACTGCTTTTCTATCTGCTTGTTCTATTAACTTTTGGGGAAAGGAGCACAGATGATCCCAGTGATCCCAGATGTGTCTGTATTATTGTTCTGTGAACAAACTGCATTTTACCACACCTTTCTTTTTTAAGACTTTGTGTGTTGGAGGTGATTCTCAAGTTTTTCTTTAGACTTTTGATAGCCTTCAGTGGTTGTGGAGACAAACCTCCCCATCAGAGGACTGAGAAACTAGTGTTGGTACAAAAGAAATGAATACTTAATAGTACCTTTATTTGAAAATAAAGACTTTGCTGAAAATCCTTCCAAATGATTTTGTATGATAGAGTTTTGGATTTTTGATTCACTCAAATTGACCCTATTTTTGGCTCAGCAAGGAAAAGAAAGTCATCTTTATCTTCGGCCAACAAGTCTAGAACAGCTAGGAAGGATAGTTTTAGAATTGTCTTCTTTGGAGCCGTGATAGTTGGAGTAGAGCTTTAGTTACAGTTTTCTTCAGTGTGCTGGAGGGATAGGAATTGGAGAAGAAATCAGCGAGTGAACTTAATTACTTCACAATTTTTATTCTCTAGTATTTGTAATCCAATCTAATATTTTTTTAATAATCAAAGGTCAACTTCTAAGTGATAAGTGCATGGTTTTTATATTAAATAATAAAAATAGTGAAGTACAGATGTGTCAGCTAAACCCCAAGTCATGGTAGTTCTCAGGTGCTTGAATCTTTCTGGTACTCTGCCTGATGCCATGAGCAGGGTCTTTGGGTAGCACTGTTGATAAATTCCTGTACTGCCTGTTGGTAAAGCAGCAAAAGGAGATGTCCTTATCTAGTCTGTGACTGTTATCAGTGTGCTAGACAGTGTTGTAAGCCATGGAGTGTCCACTGCTAGGAGTCATTATGATGCACACTGTTAGCTGATCTCAGGGAATTGTAGAATTAATTGGGAGAGTTACTGGAGTGTCCACTTTCTCTAATTCTGTGGGTGTTGGGCAGGTTGGTGTGGTCTGCTATGGGGAGTCATGTTCTACCTTCTAGCAGCATGGATATTATTTACCCTCTTATGGGAAGAGGTTGAAAAATGGTCAGAAGAGACTTGTTTTCTATGGAGATCTGGGGGTTAGGGTAGGAGAATATATGAAATATAGGTTTGAAATTATGTCGTATTTTCAAAATAAAAGGATAAGTGTTTAGTACTTTTAATTGTTTTTATATTTGTATTAAAAAATTGCTTCTCTACCCCCTCTTGTTTTAGTTGGCCTGCCTTTAGGTATATCATTATTATTATTTTTAATCCTCTGCTAGGTACATTATTCTTAGATCATCTGTGGGCTCCTGAGATAACTGGACTAAAACTAGTAATTTCTTTTGTTCAACTTTCATAGTCCTATTGAAAAAGGAGTGGTTGTGCTTATGCAGTGATTATATTGGAAATATAGTGCTCTTCTGTTTTTGCTCACGTACACACTCTGGTTGTTGGAGAATCCAAGTCTGAAACATACCATAATGATACAAATTTCTTCTCTTTATGCATAATTAAGTCATTTTTAAATTTAGAGACTTTAATGTTGGGAATAATATGCAGTTAAGTAGTAAGTAGCTTTTAATTAAGCTATCAAGTGTTCCCCAGTTACTAAGCCCTGCATTTGTTAAAAATGAAATACATTTCTTCCTGGTGGACAGGGCATGGACTTTGAAGTCAGCCCCAGTTTCCAGCCCTGAACCTATTACTTACTGTCTCTGAGACTTGTGTCCACTTCAGCAGTGTAGAAATCACAACATCTGCTTTATGGCGTGGTTGTAAGAAATGACATAGACACCAGCATTTCCTAAATACTTTGTGTTGTGAAATGTGCCTTTTTTTTTTTTTTTTTTAAGGCATCATTTCATGAGGAAATATGTCTGGGATTTGCAGCATGCTCTCTTCTCTTTGAGGTCCCACTGTGTGTTAAGACATTGGGCTCTTAGAACCCCTTGGTCAGGAAATCTGCTTTGCTTTGTTGAACTTCGAATTTCCCAAAAGGACTTCTCCTCCCTTCTTCTCCCCACCCCCACCGTGGAACACCTGCACCATATTGTAGTTTACTTTCCTTTCATGGAACATGGTTTTGAAAATAAAGTGCCGGGGCGCCTGGGTGGCGCAGTCAGTTAAGCATCTGCCTCTTGGTTTCAGCTCAGGTCATGATCTCAGGGTCATGAGATCAAGCCCTGAGTCAGGCTCAGTGAGGCTCTACTTGAGATTCTCCCTCTCTCCTTCTGCCCCTTCTGCTCCTGCTCTCTCTCTCAAATAAATAAATAAATAAATAAATCTTTAAAAAAAGGAAAGGAAAGAAATTGCCAAGCACAGTGCCCCTGATTTGTACTTGGAAAATTAAAAGTTTTTTCCTCCTCCTTTCCAGTGTTAATTTTAATGGTTCAAAAATTGTATTGTAAACTCAGAGCCCCCTTCAATTTTAGTTTAACTTTCTAAGTAAGCAATAAGCCTTTTTTTCTTCCAGTTTTATTGAGATGTATTTAATAGTATAGTACTGTATAAGCTTAATATGACTTGACATATGTGTATATTGTGAAATGAGTGAAACAGTGAGTTTAGTCACCACCTATTCATCCATTTAATAATTTGCTACATTCTTAATTTATTATTCTTTAGTTTGTGTCTTTTACCCAGAATATTGTTAAAGACTTTGATATTAAAATCTGAGAAATACTGATGTAGTGGTAGGAGAGTAAGAATCTTAGAAACTCAGTATCTGGTCAAATTCCTGCTTCACTAATTCAGTTGAGTAACAGTTTAAATATTCATAAACATTGATAGTATTTCTTGAAGTTTATTCCTAGCCCTCTGAAAGATACTGAGATGTACTAAAAGATGTGGCTTGGATACTTCTGCACCTGCCTTGAGCCTCTGAACACTAGGTGGGAACGAACTATCCAAGTCTTTTTTGAGTGATTTTTAAGAGTTCTGTAGATTTAAAAAATGAGAGATAACAACATTGCAATAAAAAAGCAGATGTTAAAAGAATAAAACGTAGGAAAGCATTGTTTATTTTAGTAGAAAATTAAGATAGATAAAAAAGAATAAAAGTAATTTTATATGCAGAGATGTTTGTTGCTAACATCTTATCCCCTAGATTTTTCCTTGTGTGTTTCACAAAAATGGTATTATATTCTACACACTACCCTGTGGCCTGCTTATTTTACATCCAAATGTAGAGTAAGGTCTTTTTATGCCAGACATCTACGAAAGCACCCTTACCTTTCCCAAGTACCTGCCTCAACAGGGTGTCCTCTCTCTCCAGCTTGTTTCTCAGCAGGGGTTTGAGGCTAGAGGAAGTGTGGGGAGAGGAGCAAGCTCTGTTGGAGGGTAAACTGTTGTACATTATATGATTCCTTGTTGGTTATGCATGAACTATTGGTGTATGCAGAATGAGGTAGAGTACACATCTTTATTTTGCTGAGTTATGTTCTACTGACCCAAAAAGATTTGCATTGAATTTATTGCTTAAAAGAGAAGACGGCGACATGTGGAAAGGTCAAGAGCCGGTATGTGCATATTATGTACACCTAGACTTAAATATAAGCCTGAAATTATTGTTACGGAGTACTGGATGGTTTGATGTCTTTCTGAGTTAAATCAGAATGAGTAGAAAGCCTAATAGCAAGGCAGAGGACATTTTTCTCTTGATGAAAGATATTTTTGAGAAAAAATGTTATATTAAACATACTTTGATCTGATTTTATTATTTAGAGCTTTCTTAAATGGTGTCAAGACCTGACTAGAGGGGGCGCCTGGTGGGCTCAGTCAGCAGAGCATGTAACTCTTGATCTTGTGGTCTTGAGTTCAAGCCCGATGTTGGGTATAGAGATTACTTAAAAATAAATAAAATCTTTTAAAAAAAAACTGACACAGGGCGCCTGGGTGGCTCAGTTGGTTAAGCGACTGCCTTCGGCTCAGGTCATGATCCTGGAGTCCCGGGATCGAGTCCCGCATCAGGCTCCCTGCTCAGCAGGGAGTCTGCTTCTCCCTCTGACCCTCCCCCCTCTCATGTTCTCTCTCTCTATCTCATTCTCTCTCTCAAATAAATAAATAAATCTTTGGGAAAAAAAAAAGATAAAAAAAAAACTGACACAAAGGAAGAGATTTTATTACTATTTCTCTGAAATTAAAAAAAAATTTTTTTTAATAAAAGGTGGCTACCATCCAGTGAAAATTGGAGACCTCTTCAATGGCCGCTACCATGTTATTAGGAAGCTAGGATGGGGACACTTCTCAACTGTCTGGCTGTGCTGGGATATGCAGTAAGTGCTCTTTTGTCATTTGTGCATTTCATTTCTGGTCCAGTTTAACCTTTATAATCAGGTGTGGCTGAGGAGCTTCCTGCTTCTGTTGTGCATGTATCGTACTTAGCACAGGCCTGCCTTGCTCGGCTAGACATCCCCCCCCACCCCCCCACCCCAGTTTGAAGTTCACTTGTCTGTTAATACATTAACTTTCTTCTGCTTTTGTATCTGAAGCTTATTCATTGAAATAGCATTATATCAGACATATGTTCTTGTAATTCATCCATATCAGAAAAATGTTCATATGTAAAACAATCATGTTTAGGCCTTTAAAATCAGTGGTTTCTGACTTTTTAAAGAAAAGTCACGACCCCATAGTATGAAACTGCGCTGCTACCCAGGACGCATACACATATGGTGTGTATGTGTATGTACTAAAACAGAAGTGTTACAAAATAAGAATTACCCTTAATCTATGTAATGAACTCTGACATTTTTCCAGTCCACCTTATTTTTATTAGGTAAAAACAAACACAAAGCAAAAAGATGGTTTTGATCCATTAGCCTCTTGCTTAATTGTGCCCACACAATTGGAAAAGTACTATTTTAAAGGAAAGGTTATTCCCAGGCGGTCTCCCATCCAAGTACTAACCAGGCCCTATTTATTGAATAGATTTCATTATAATGATCACTTTTGCTGATAATATTAAAAATACGCTTTTTTTTTTTTTAAAGGGGGAAAAGATTTGTTGCAATGAAAGTTGTAAAAAGTGCCCAGCATTATACAGAGACAGCCTTGGATGAAATAAAATTGCTCAAATGTGTAAGTACTATGAAAATGTGAATAATGCAAGAAAAATTAATGACTTAAAATTTTACAGAGGAATTTTTAAGTTTAAATACTGAATCTTTTATTTTTAAAAACATCACTTTTACTAAAATGTTTTTGGCTGGTTATAATGGAAATGACTTTCAGTCCTAAATGGTTCTGTTCTTGAATTAATTTTTCTTTCCATAGGTTCGAGAAAGTGATCCCACTGACCCAAATAAAGACATGGTAGTACAGTTAATCGATGACTTCAAGATTTCAGGCATGAATGGAATACGTATCCTTATTGACAGTTCTTTTGCTTCCTAATGACTTTTTAGTTCTAAAATATGGAAATAGGGGCACCTGGGTGGCCTCAGTCGTTAAGCGTCTGCCTTCGGCTCAGGTCATGATCCTAGGGTCCTGGGCTCGAGCCCCACATTGGGCTCCGTGCTCGGGGGGGAGCCTGCTTCTCCTTCTCCCCGCACCCCAATTGTGCTTTCTCTCATACACTCTCTGTCAAATAAATAAATAAAATCTTTAAAAAAAACATGGAAATATTTCAAGCTTATTTAAACTTCTGTTAGCTGTGCTGTATCAGTGTCCACATAAAGCCTCTAGTATCATTACAGAGTGTTATAAAATGGTATGCCAAAAAATTCCCCAATTCCTGCCAGTCCATTTCGGTGTCTTGTGCCATCTCTCTGAGGTCGTACAGAATCTTAAGCATCCTTCTTGTGCAGGCACTGGGCTCTTTACAGACAGCCCCTCTACCTTCACCATCAAGCTGGGGAGTGCCTTACATATGTGTAATGAGAGAGCAGAGAAAGATGAGTTGCAATCCTTTTTGCAGATTACAAGGAGCAAAAGATCAGCGTGTCAAGAGCCAGGGCCTTCTCCTTCTTATCATGTTTGGAACAAATCCTTCATTTTGGTATTTGACCTGCTCAAGCTCCAGAAGCCTGAGGACAAAGCCGCCTCCCAGCTCACATCCTAGAATGGCACCCTGTTTCTGCATCTCCTGAGCCTTAATCCCTGGGGAGGCACTTCCTTCATACCCTTTATGTCTGAAGGAGGTTCTATATTTCCTCTAGAGATTGGACTAGAAGCTACTAGTAAGTACCAGTGCCTGCTGGTGTCATCTTGCCCTTTGCCTCAAGATTGTTTTTGCTAGTTGCTGAGTGCATCCCCCCCCCCTTTTTTAAAGATTTATTTATTTATTTTTTTTGAGCGAGATTGAGAGTGAGGGGGACAGAGAGAATCTCAAGCAGACTCCCCAGTGAGTGCGGGGCCCAATGCAGGGCTCAGTCTCATGACCCTGAGATCATGACCTGAGCCAAAATCAAGAGTCACATGCTCAACCAACCGAGTAACTCAGGTGCCAGTCCCCTCCTCCCCAACCTCCATAGACAGAAAGAGCTGGTCTTCTGCCCGGGTCTCCAGGAGAGTCTGTTTGTTTATGGGTGGGCAGGGCGGCCCCTCTTCTTGGATCAGTTCTGTAAGGCAGTTTGTTGGGGTAGCTGGCAGGGTTTCTTTGGAGAAACTACCTGACTTATAGGTAAATGGAGTGTTTTGGATATACACATTCCAGTGGCTGTTTTTACCATTAAATAAAATGCTAGGAAACCATTATAGTCCAGGTGGTCAGTGCTTTGAAGAAGACTTAGGTCATGATTTAGAAATCTTGGCCTCTGACTCTATGTCTTTTACTAACTTTAATCCTTAGTTTGCCTTTTTTTAATAATGATTTGGGAAATAGAAACTTCTGGCTTTAGATTATCTATGCATAAGTCTATAATGTTCTCCAACATTGTAGAAAATATTTAAAAATTTTTCATTAAAAATATTTAAAGCAACAGTTATTGTGATAATGTGATTGGTAGATCCAGATATTGTAGAAAATATTAAATCAACTAACCTGCTTTAATGGCTTATCTGTAGGCTTCCAGGGATGAATGATGTATTCTCAAGAGGTTTCAGAGCCATTTTAAATCTTCTGTATAAATAACGTGAATATATTTGTATGATGGACTTCGGTGGGTCATAGTAGAATTTCTGTTTTAAAAAAAAAAAACACCCGGATTCCTAAGATTTCATTATTATAAGTGGGTCTTAAGTGCCATGTCTTGGGGCGCCTGGGTGGCTCAGTTGGTTAAGCAACTGCCTTCGGCTCAGGTCATGATCCTGGAGTCCCGGGATCGAGTCCCACATCGGGCTCCCTGCTCAGTGCGGAGTCTGCTTCTCCCTCTGACCCTCTTCCCTCTCATGCTCTCTGTCTCTCATTCTCTCTCTCTCAAATAAATAAATAAAATCTTTAAAAAAAAAATGCCATGTCTTGTATTGTGATCATATGTTATTGAAAACTGCTTAGAGTATTAAAGTTGATCTGGTTCTGCAATGAAAGATACTATTGAAGGAAAAGATTAAATATCTTCACTGTGTTTTGTAAATTTTTATTTTATAAAGTGTTTCATGGATTTGAATTTAGGCAGGCAGGAAGGACACTTAAGACAGGGTTTTTTGGGTGTCCCGTTTCCCCCCGCCCCCCCGCCATCAGTTTTTATGAGGTTTCAGCCTTGCTCACTTTCATTACGGCTGATTATCAGGGAGGGGGTGTTGAAATGAGCAAGAGTGCAGGGAGGTGCGGGGTTGCGTCATGGCCCAGCCGCCTTGGGACTGTGTGACACCGGAGAAGAGCTCCTCCAGGTCCCGCCTCTGTGCGGGGGTAGGCACATTGTTTGACGAGCATACATTGACTAACACATAGGATATAAGTACTTAGTAAATGTTAGATCTATTTATTTTGGTGAGAAATGGCACATGACCACTTCTGGTATTATTGGTAGTAGTGACATTGCATTTTAAACGTTTTAAAGTATTTTTGTTTTTGTTTTTGTGTTTTTTTTTTTGTTTTCAGAGAGAGAGTTTCACGCATGCAGGTATACACAAGCAGGGGGAGGGAGAGGGAGAGGAAGAATCCCAAGCAGTTTCCATGCTGAGCATGGAGCCCCATGTGGGGCTCGATCTCACAAACCCTGAGATCATGACCTGAACCAAAACCAAGAGTCAGACACTTAACTGACTGTGCCACCCAGGCACCCCGTGATGTTGCATTTTATAAAGAAAAAATTGCCAAGTGCCACAAAGATGCTGCTTTGAGTAATTGCATCACTCCAGGAAATGTATCTGCAAATGATCCTTAACCATGTCCCAGATGTCTGCATGGTCTTCGAAGTACTCGGCCACCATCTCCTCAAGTGGATCATCAAGTCCAATTACCAAGGCCTCCCAGTACGTTGTGTGAAGAGTATCATTCGACAGGTGAGGATGTGAGGGCAGCCCCCGCCCGCCAGTACCTAATTGGCTAGCTTTTAACGAAAATTCCTGTCCTTAAATACACACACACACGCACACACATATAAATAGAATCCCTGTTTTACAAATATATACATGTATATTACAGTGCATAATATTTTGAACTTGTTACATCAACTTTATTTAATCGCATGCCATTCTGTCTTGTAAAGAGGGCAGTATGTAAATTTCAGGCATGCATTTCTTTTGGTGTGTTGACCTTTTTTTAAGGTAAGTAAAATGGCATACTGAGAAATTGTTTGATCTAATATCATTACTATGAAATGTCCCACTTAGTTCTTTAAAAAATAATTCAGAAGAAATAGGTAATGTTTGTTTACTATTTCTGTGTATCTTTGGATGGAGGCTAAATGAAAGATAGTATGAGGAATGTTGAAGTTATATAGGGAGTACTGTGTTAGATCTGTACTCTGTTCAGTTGCCTTGACAAAAGAAAACCTTTAGGTGGGGTCTGGTTCAGGGATGTTGTTCCAGCAAGTGTTGATAGAATGAAAGTATACACATATGGAAGATCTCCTAATTAGAAAATTTACCAGATTCAGCTTTCTGCATGGAATGTATCAGTCTGTATTCCTCATTGCCCTTATAGCCTACATTAGGAAAGTTGCAGATATAACTTATTCTGAATTACCATGTTCTGATATCATGGACAATTGCCATGGATAATTCTGCAGAGTACATAATATATCAGGGGGGTTGTTTGGTTTGCTTGAGAAGAGGATTAGGTGATTGGGCATCCATCCCTTGCCCCCTAGGCCCAGAGCTTAAGCTAGACCTACTCGGGGCGTTTCCAGACCTGAAATATAGGCCCTGGTCTACAGTTCTCACATAGGAAAAGAATCAGGGAATGATTCACAATTAAAGAATTGTGAATTCAAGAGTTGGGTCCCTACAAGAGAACCTTCCTAACAACTGTAGATAGTATTTGCATACATGCATATGAGTAGGTTTTTAAACCCATTTTATAAAGATTTTGGAGCTTACATTGGTTTGTGAAAGCATCTTAGATTTTGCTTATGGAGTTGTACATAGGTAGCATTATTTAGTCAGCCTGAGTGTTCATCATTTATCTTTGTTTCTTTGCATTGCAAATTGGCAGCTTATCTTCTAACATTATAGATGTTACATGAAAAGAGAGGCTGAAGAGAGAAGGGTGCTTTGCCTTGGCTTATCCAGTGAAATATTGTTCCCGTACACAGTATCATGCTGGGTATACTATATGCCCTTTGCGGACTTGTGGTCAACTTTGGATTAATAATAATACCTGTTCCCTTTTAGATTTTAGATAGTAGCGTTTTAATTTATTATTTTAACATGGTTAATATCTCAAACCAAAAAACAATTTCCCTTTAATGTGGGCAGGGGGAAGGGGGGATGGTCGTGATTAACCTTATTTGGAGTTTTTTGACCCCTGAATGACACTTTGGTGTTTATATCTATTAGTGGCAACTCTGAACTCTAAAAATCATCTTGTTAAAAAACCCTGAAAAAATGTCTTAATTATCTCTGATAAATCCTGAAAAGATTTACATATTCTAACAAAAAGCAAATACTTTGAGAAACTCCAGCTCGTGTGTATTTCACATAGGTCTGTCATCCCCTGGAACCCTGTATTTTGAAAGATGTCTGTGGTTGCCATAGGTGACTGACCACCGCACAGTTCAGGCTGGGCCGTGAAAGGAGGTGACTTCGTAGATGAGCCATTGATATTTATTTTGTGTTCCAGGACAAGGAAACAAAATGTAGGCTTTCTCAGCAAATGAAAGTGTCTGTAAATCTAAAAATGAAATTCTTGGAGTTTAATGGAATTTTTATGGGTCCTTGCTGAATGAACAAATGATTTTAATGAGTGTGTAATTCACACACACTGTGCTTTGGGGACTGAGAACTCTTACAGTGCTTTATTGGTCTAGAAAAATTTCAAGGTGAAATTTTCATTTTCTGTACGTAATTATTGCAGGCAATATTTAGAATTTTTGCTTTTAGTGTGACCCACCTTTAATTTTATTTAAGAAAAATACGGATTTTGGATTTCTTTCCCTAAACTTGTAACTTTCAGAGTAGTAAATTGTTGTCTATCCCAGTTAGTAATCTGTATCACCTGAAATTCCCTTCATTCCCTTGGATTCAGCCTGTGGATTCACTGTTTTTGACTCCTAAGTAATAGAGGGAAGATCCTTTATTAATAGACCTCACAGTTTCAGTGCTTCCCAGAACAGACAAGGTAGACCAGCTCTCTAAGAGTCTGTCACTGTGTGGCCTCCCTTTCCTTCGAAGTCAGGTGTGGCTGACCCGGTTCCAGTCCCCTGTCGTTGGTCTCTTGGTGTGCCTCACTAATCACCTAGCCACCTTCCCTCCTGTGCCTTGCCTTCTATTCCTGATCTTTCTGTTTCCAGCACCACCGTCCTTAGTTCAGACCCTTTATCGCCTCCAGCCAGTACCTTTTCATGGGCTTCTCTCTTTTCTTCCAGAGACCTGCTCATCCTACTCCATGTCCCTGTGCCAATTTTTTCTCCTTTCCTTTGGCAGTTACCTTCCAAAACAAAACTTTGCTTCATTTAGAAACCTTTAGTGGCTTTCCAGTGCCTCTTGTCTGAAGGTTAATATTTGCTTTCAGGAAGCTACATGTGGGGTGAGAACAAGCTTGGGTTTTGGTGTCAGATGTACCCTTCTCTAGCTAGGAACTTAGGGTAAGTTCCTTAACCTCCTTAAGCCACAATTTCATCATGAGTAAAATGGGAATAATAAAGATACTTTCCTTGCTGATTATTGTTACACATAAAGGGATGCTACTATTGATGATTATAGATTTTTATTCAGTGCTACTTAGTATGTGCCAGGCATTGCTGTCAGTACTTTGCAAATTTTAATCCATTGAATCTTCACAATAACTCTATGAAATAGGTATTTTTACCCTTCCATTTTATGGAAGAGGAATGGAAGTGTGGAGAGTTTAAGTAACTTGCCTCCAGCCAGGAAGTGACTTAAAAAAGTAGTAGTAAGCTGTGGAAGGGGCATTCATAACCCAGAACATCTGGTTCTGGAGCGCTTACCTTTAGCATTTTGCCAAGTAGCATATGATACCTTTAGAATCATACTTGGCCTAATGTCCAATCAAAGTTAAATCACTGTTCTTCCTGTGAACGTGTTTAAGGTTTTCACCCATCTGGTATCAGCCCGTATTTCCCCTTGCAAACCCCGATTCAGCTTTTATTTCCTGGCAGGTCAGTGTTTCGCCATTAATCTTTTAAATAGGTAATGCACGTTAAGTGTTCTGAAATGTTAGGTCCTTCAGGTACCCAGTTTCTCTCCCAGAGTCAACCAAGTTACCAGTCTCTTATGAGTGGTCAAAGATGCCCAAGCATTTATAAATACATGCAGATTTACCTGATTTTTTATTCATAAATTTTTACTAGTTTCATTTTGCAGGTATTTTAGAGAAAGTACTCACCTGACCATTTTTTAGCTGCACATCTTTGATCATTTCTTTTGTCTTAGGCTGCCGATAATACCACCCTTTCTTTTCTACCCATGCTTTGAAAGACTCAACCAAAATCCTGTTTCCGTGACAAAACCTTCCCACACTACCCCAGTTAAGAATGCTCTTTCTTCCCTCCTCGGTCTGCCTGCAGCCTCCATTTGGGCCTTTCCTGATGATCGTAGCTTCTTCCTATATACGCCCCAGTTTCACAGCCCTGGCACTATTGACATTTTGGTCTGGAAAATTCTTTGTTGTGGGGACCTATCTTGTGTATTGTAGGGTGTTCAACAGCATTCCTAGCCTCAACCAACTAGATGCTTGTATCAGCCACCACCACCCCAGTTGTGACTATTTTAAAGGTCTCTAAACTTTGTCAGATGTCCCTGAGGAGGCGGAATTCCCTCCGGTGGAAAACCACTGGAATAGGGGTAGGTGCCTTGCCAACAGGCTTCACTTCATATTATACCTTTGGCACTTACTGTTTTGTGACCCTGATCCAATGATGTCACCTCTGTGAGCCTGTTTTCTCATTTGTAAAATTGGGATGGTAGTAGGTCATTTGTGGAGATTGACATGGAGGGACTGATGACAAAGCATCCAGTGTGGTGACCAGCGTGAAGTAGCCGGTGTGTCTCCCCACCTGCGTTGTGAGCTCTTGGAGTTACGAGTTGTGTGTGAATCCTATGTGTCTTTGGAGCTTCCTTCTTGCTGGGGGTGGTCAAAGAATGTTTTTGATGGGTTGTCTTTTCTAAAATGAAAGAAGTATACATTCCTCTTTTTATTCTATAAAATGGCTCACTTTCTCTGATTTGATGGGCTCGTGGACCAACATTACCGCTCGTTTGTATTTTAAAAGTAATGACATAATTGAATTAACTGTCTTTTCAGGGTTTCCCATACACTGTTCTCAGTCCCTTGGTCAGTTCTTAGCTGTCCTCCTATAGTCCTGGTGACCTTGTGCTGGGTCGAAGAAGAGCCATGCTGGTGGTGCCTGAGATGCCGTGTGCAGCCTCTGACTTTCCCAGACCGCTTCTCTGGCTCAGGTGTGGAGTCTTATGTTGGTCTGTTCACCCCCCAGCTTTCATTTCTTCTTTTTAAATCAGCTTTAGTGGGGTCTGTTTCATGTCTTGCTCTTACTTCTAAATCCAGAAGAAGAAACAGGATGATAGTGTTGGCCGTGTTTATTTGTGGTGCATGAAAGGTAGGGCTTCTTCAGACGCTCCTGCTCTTCTTTAAACGTGGCTTTGACTTGCTTATATATTGAAAGGGTATTTTACTTTTTAAAACTTTATGGTTCAATTCATCGCCCTTTAGAGGAACCTGTAAGGAAATGGCCTTCTTGGTAAGGGCAAGGCCGTGAGTTTGGTGACTTTGCTACAGTACTGGAAAAACTAGCAGTTGCAGCTTGTAGCTCTGGATTTTTAAATTCTTATTACTCTTTTCTATAACTCTGATTGTCACTAGC